AGAGTTAGTAAAGTACAGCAGAAAACATGTCGCTAGGAGAACAAAGAACTAGAGCTCCAAGCAACCTTACCTTGTCCTGAAGAATCCCGGACGAGCCCCCAAGATGAAAGATTGTTGCTGAACCATGCAAAGACACTGGGATTCTTGGCCTCCGGAGGAGAAGAATTCCATCTGGGGCCAGAGACTTGATCGGTCAGAGCTTTTGTGTAATAAAGTTTTATTAAAGTATAAAGGAGATAGAGAAAGCTTCTGACATAGGCATCAGAAGGGGGCAGAAAGAGTACCCCCTTGCTAGTGTTAGCAATGGAGTTATATACTCTCCAATTAGTTATGACAGTGAATCAAAAGAATGTCTGGAGGTTGTAAAGACCTCACTAGACCTACTCCCATAATTTACGTTTTAAGATAATAGGATTAGCCAGAAGGTTTTTGCCCAGAGACTGTCCTCAAGCAGGATATATTATTGTTATATAATCCTAAGGAATGCGGGGGGGGGGGGTTGTCCTTTCTTCCTCCTTGAGAATTCCAGACCCCTCTCTTCTTGGGACACCCCTCTCTCCTTGGGGACCTCTAGACTTCTTATCAACCTGCCTAGGAATTGACGCTTTCAAAAATACATATAATACTGAGGAAAGCACAACTGAGAAATAGAGAGAGTTCTTGTCTTGATGATATCCTGAGGTCCTGGATTAGGTCATATTATCTAAAACTAGATCTGTCCCTGGACAACTCTGTTAGTGAGCCAGCAAACTGCCCTTTTTATAAAGCTGATTTAGATTGAAATTCTCACCAATTGCAAATATAAGTCTTAACTGAAATATCAGTCAACAATTATTTCTTTTAGTATGGAGGTATCCTGACTGCAAGTCAGCCTGGCCTACATTGATAAATGAAAGGTAAGTGGGTCAGAACTTCAGAGACTAAGCCAGGTTGAATTTGGAACTTTCCCTGATCAATTTAGAAATGCTGTTCAGTTGAAAATATATAATGGAAGAACACCATAACTTGAAGTACCCCAAAGAAGTACCATGTTTTTCATTTTGGTATATCCTGGCTTCAACTCAGTTCAGTTCAGTCGTTCAGTCATATCCGACTCTTTGCAACTCCATGAACCACAGCACGCCAGGCCTCCCTGTCCATCACCAACTGCCGGAGTCTACCCAAACCCATGTCCACTGAGTCAGTGATACCATCCACCCACCTCATCCTCTGTCGTCCCCTTCTCTTCCTGTTCTCAATCTTTCCCAGCATCAGGGTCTTTTCAAATGAGTCAGCTCTTCACATCAGATGGCCAAAGTGTTGGAGTTTCAGCTTCAGCATCAGTCCTTCCAATGAACACCCAGGACTGATTTCCTTTAGGATGGACTAGTTGGGTCTCCTTGCAGTCCAAGGGACTCAAGAGTCTTCTCCAACATCACAGTTCAAAAGCATCAATTGTTCAGTGCTCAGCTTTCTTCATAGTCCAACTCTCACATCCATACGTGACTACTGAAAAAACCATGGCTTTGACTAGTTGGACCTTTGGCAGCAAACTAATGTTGCTGCTGTTTTTTTAAAATCAATTTATTTATTTTAATTGGGGGCTAGTTACAATATTGTAGTGGTTTTTGCCATACATTGACATGAATCAGCCATGGGTGTACATATGCTGTCTAGGTTGGTCATAGCTTTTCTTCCAAGGAGTAAGTGTATTTTAATTTTATGGTGGCAGTCAGCATCTGCAGTGATTTTGAGCCAAGAAAAGAAAGACTGTCACTGTTTCCATTGTTTCCCCATCTATTTGCCATGAAGTGATGGGACCAGATGCCATGATCTTAGTTTTTTGAATGTTGATTTTTAAGCCAGCTTTTTCACTCTCCTCTTTCACCTTCATCAAGAGATCTTTCGTTCCTCTTTGCTTTCTGCCATAAGGGTGGTGTCATTTGCATATCTGAGGTTATTGATATTTCTCCCAGAAATCTTGATTTGAGCTTGTGCTTCATCCAGCTCAGCATTTCCCATGATATTCCCTGCATATAAGTTAAATAAGCAGGGTGACAATGTACAGCCTTGACATACTCCTTTCCCAATTTTGAAGCAGTCTGTTGTTCCATGTCCAGTTCTAACTGTTACTTCTTAACCTGCTTACAGATTTCTCAGGAGGCAGGTCAGGTGGTCTAGTATTCCCATCTCTTTAAGAATTTTCCATAGTTTGTTGTGATCCACACAGTCAAAGGCATGTGGGAGCCAAAACTCAGAGAGAGTAACATTTCCCTCCACTGAATTGAGTCATCACTCCAAGAGGGCAGGAACATATCCCAATGCTCTTTCCCCCTTTCTTTGTCTTCTTTCTGCTTGACTTTGGACGTGGTACAGTCACAGAAGAGGGCAGTTTTGGGTGGGGGAATAAAAAGAAGAGATTTGGGAGCTAAAAATACTTTGGAGATAATAGAGAGAGGAATTTCAAAGAGTCACCCCCATAAAGTTGTTTATGAACTCCTGAGCCAGTGTGACACACTCATGCATGTATTTGACAGTAATTTATATACCAAAGATTTTAAGAACTGAGCTAACAGGTAGATCTTCACTCAGGTGTCAGGCTGACCACAGGATGGTGCATATGCTGGACAGGTGCAATTAGTACTGCAAAACCTGAAAATTGAGCTGACATAGGAACCCATAGCTCACCAAAGACTAAAGCAAAAATATTAGCATTTTCCTAGGATATAAACAAAACTGAGACTCTCATGATGTAATATTCAATATGCCCAGGATGCAAACCAAAAAAATACTTGGCATAAAAATGAGCAGGAAAATCTCAACTTGCTAAATGGCAATCAATAGATAGTAACAATGAGAGGATAGAGATTTGACGAGAACTTTAAAGCAGCTATTATAAAAAGTCTCTGTTGGACAATTGTCAATACTATTTAAACAAATATTAAAATAGAAAGCATCAGCAAGGAAATAAAAGATACAAAGAAGAACCAAATATAAATTTTAGAACTGAAATAATCAGTCAGGAAAAAATCTCCAGATGGACTCAGTGGTAAAATAGAGATGACGTAGGAAAGAATAAGTGAACTTGAAGATAGGACACTAGAAATTACTCAATCTGAACAGAGAGAAAACAGATTGAAAAAAAGATGAACAAAGCCTTGGGAACCTGTGGGTCAATAACAAAAATTCTAAAAATCAAATCAATGTAATCCAAGAAGGAGAGCAGGAAGAGTGCTGTATTGAAAAACTAATGACTGAAAATACTGCAAGTTTTAGGGAAAAAACATAAATCTACAGATTCAAGAAGATGAGCAAACCCCATACAGGATATACACAAAGGAATCCATGCCTAGCTATATCATAATCAAATGCTGAAAGCTAAACAGAAAGAAAAGGTCTTGAAATCAGCCAGGGACAAATAATATATTAGGGGAAAACAGCTTTCATTTCAAAAGCCACAGGATCAAGAAGGAAGTACATACTATTTTCCAAGTACTGAAAGAAAAGAATTGTCAATCCAGAATTCTAAATCCAGCAAAAATACCATTCATAATGAAGGTTAAATAAATGCATTCTCAGGTGAAGAAAAACTAAAAGAATTTGAAACCAGAAACTTGCTCTAAAAGAATTACTAAAAAGTTTCTTAGGACGGAAAGGAAATGATACCAGGAAAAAAGTTACATCATTGGGAATAAAAAAAAGTCAAGAGAAATGGTAAATATCTGGGTAAATATAGTAGACTTCTCTCCTCTTGAGTTCTTTATAGCATATTTGGTTGAAAGCAAAAGATATAATGATCTTTGATAGAATTTTCAATGCACATAGATGTAATATATAATACTTATAGCATAACTATGTGGAAGGTAAAGGTATTTATATGGCAATAGGGTGTCTACATTTCAGTTGAATAGTAAGATATTGATCTGAAATAGATACATTAATTCTAAATAGTTTCTGAAAAGTGTACATGTGTTAATCCCTAGAGCAACCACTAAAGATAATGTATAAAGAGAAATACTTAAAAACACTATAAATAAGTTATAATGGAATACCAGAAAAATGTTCAAAATAAAAGAAACATAAAATACTATTTTATAGTATTAAATCCAAACATCTCAATAATCACAGTAAATGTAAATAAGCTAAATACACCAATTAAGAGAGATTATCAAGTTGCATAAAAGAAAACATGACTCAAATATATTCTGTCCATAAGAGCTAAACAATTAAAATGTTCCTCAGTGAGTGAATGGATAAATGGTAATACATTCATACAATCATATATTACTTAATATAAAATAACAACTATTGATACAATAGAAAATCTTGACCGATTCTCAAAGGCATTATGCTAAGTGAAAGAAGTCAATGATTTACATACCAGTTTACATACCAGTTCCTGCAATGCAGGCGATGCAGGTTCGATCCCTGAGTCAGGAAGATCCCCTGGAGAAGGAAATGGCAAACCACTCCAGTACTCTTGCCTGGAAAATCCCATGGACAGAGGAGCCTGGTAGGCTACAGTCCATGGGGTCACAAAGAGTTGGACACGACTGAGCGACTTCATTCATTCAAAAATAAAAGTACATAGGTGAGGTGTCCCAAGCAAGGAGGGGTCAAGTTTCCTCCCCATCTCAGAACCCAGTGGAAAGCCTCTAGGGACCAACGAGGGCGTCATCCCCAAGATTCAGCCAAAGCCCCCCTGTCCCCCACTCAAGCCCCAGTGACTCCAACTGACCTGAATGAATTCTAATGAGTGGGGATTGGTGTGTCCAGCCAAAGCAACTGGGTGGTAAGTGTCAGGCTGCGCCAGACACCAAGAGGCAGACCAGCGAGGACAGCTCTCGGTGTCCCCCCAGGAGAGACAGACAAATCAGACCACTGCCAGCCCCGTCCTGAGAGCCTCAGCCCACAGGTCCGGGTGCCTGCCGCCGGCGACCCTCATAGTGGGGCGAGGGAAAGTCCCACACTCACTGGTGAAGAGTTGCTGGATTTGAGGAAAGCCAAGGCCACCGAGGAGGATGCTGACTACGATCCAGGTGACAGCCACAGTGATGACCAGGGCCACGATGCGAAGGGGGCCTGGAGGCAGGACAGATGTGAGCAAGGCCACCTCTGAGGGCAGCGAGCTCCCGGACGACCCCAGGCCTCTTCATAAGCTGATCTCCCCATCCGCTGGGGAGGAAGGGATGGGAGAACAGAAGGGTGGAGACCTGCAGCCACCCACCAGGCACGAGATGGGGACCAGCTCCTGGCGGATGAAGGAGGAAAGCCCGCTGCAACTAGAAGGCTCTTGGCTTCGTTCTCCCTGGCAGTGTGGAGGGCCTCTGGAGCCCCTGCTGGAGAGGGCTTTGCCCTTGCCCCCTCCCCCGCCTGTGCTGACGGAGGAGCCACCTAACCCCTGAGGTCCCCATGCATTTGAGTCCCCACCACCCTGCCCTCCTTTCTCCTGCAATGATGGAGGAGAAGGCTCCTACCCCTTTAGAAGACCAGGCAGCCCTCCCTTTCCCTGCTGTGAGCTGGGCGCCCAGCTCCCCACCCTGCCCAGGGTTCTTCGAATAGCTCACTCTGTCTCACTCTCGGTCCTCTATTGTCAACATTCCCCGTCTTCCCTCTTGTTCTCTCTGTCTCTCCATCTCCTCCACTCTTCCCCGGCCTCCATCAGCCCCGCAGGACAGCCTGTCACCAAGGCCCCCAGCTGGGACCTTCTTGGGGTCAGCGCCCCAGGGTTACTTGTGGGCACTCCTTGTCTCTCAACTTCTCAGCTGGCCATGCCAGGCTGAAGCCCTCCTGCAGAAACCCTTCTGGGCTGGCACCCTGGAAGCCCATAGGATGCTCCTCACCCTTCTTGTCCTCTGAGACACTGCCCTGAAGAGCTGGGCTTGTCCTGGTTCCTGTCCCACAAGGCTTTCTCAACTCCTTCCATGGAATCTTCCCGGATCATGTCATCCATTCTCATTGTCCTTAACGTATAGCTCTGGCTCTGTCCTCTCTTCTGAGCCATATCTATATAGCCAACTGCTACTTTACTATTGCTACTTGGATATTTCACAGGTGTCTTGAACTAAATATCTTCTCTCTTTTACCCCAAATAAGCCAACTGTATTCTTCCAATATTTTGTCTTTCAGCAAACGATCCTTCCATTCATACAGTCTGGCAAGTGAAAACATTGCAGAATGACATTGGGGAATCCCCAAATCCTGTGTCCAACCTAGTACTAAGTGACCAAAATACCTGAAATTTGACTGCTTTCCCCATCTCCACAATTTACCATTTCTACTCTAACTTTGATCATTTAGTTGGTAAAGAATCTGCCTGCAATGCAGGAGACCCCAGTTCGATTCCTGGGTTGGGAAGATCTGCTGGAGAAGGCATAGGCTACCCACTCCAGTATTTTTGGGCTTCCCTGGTGGCTCAGCTGGTAAAGAATCTTCCTGCAATGTGGGAGACCTGGGTTCAAACCCCTGGATTGGGAAGATCCCCTAGAGAATGGATAGGTTACCTACCCACTCCAGTATTCTGGCCTGGAGAACTCCATGGAACTCCATGGACCGTAGAGTTCATGGGGTCACAAAGAGTTGGACATGACTGAGTGACTTGCACTTTCATTTTCTTCTCGCTCTAACTCAGTCACCATCATTTCTCACATGGTGATTTTAGTAGTCTCTAAACTGGTCTCCTAGTTCTCTTTATTAGTTCAGTTCAGTCACTCAGTCGTGTCCGACTCTTTGTGACCCCATGAATCGCAGCACGCCAGGCCTCCCTGCCCATCACAAACTCCCGGAGTTTGCTCAAACTCATGCCCATAGAGTCGGTGATGCTATCCAGCCATCTCATCCTCTGTCATCCCCTTCTCCTGCTGCCCCCAATCCCTCCCAGCATCAGGGTCTTTTCCAATGAGTCAACTCTTCACATGAGGTGGCCAAACTATTGGAGTTTCAGCTTCAGCATCAGTCCTTCCATGAACACCCAGGACTGATCTCCTTTAGGATGGACTGGCTGGATCTCCCTGCAGTCCAAGGGACTCTCAACAGTCTTCTCCAACACCACAGTTCAAAAGCATCAATTTCTCTGTGCTCACCTTTCTTCACAGTCCAACTTTCACATCCATACATGACCACTGGAAAAACCATAGGCTTGACCAGACGGACCTTCTTTGGCAAAGTAATGTCTCTGCTTTTTAATATGCTATCTAAGTTGGTCATAACTTTCCTTCCAAGGAGTAAGCATCTTTTAATTTCATGGCTGCAGTCACCAACTGCAGTGATTTTGGAGCCCAAAAAAATAAAGTCTGACACTGTTTCCACTGTCTCCCCATCTATTTCCCATGAGGTGATGGGACCAGATGCCATGATCTTAGTTTTCTGCATGTTAAGCTTTAAGCCAACTTTTTCAGTCTTCTTTCACTTTCATCAAGAGGCTTTTTAGTTCCTCTTCACTTTCTGCCATAAGGGTGCTGTCATCTGCATATCTGAGGGTACTGATATTTCTCCCAGCAATCTTGATTCCAGCTTGTGCTTCTTCCAGCCCAGCATTTCTCATGATGTACTCTGCATATAAGTTAAATAAGCAGGGTGACAATATACAGCCTTGATGTACTCCTTTTCCTATCTGGAACCAGCCTGTTGTTCCATGTCCAGTTCTAACTGTTGCTTCCTGGCCTGCATACAGGTTTCTCAAGAGGCAGGTCAGGTGGTCTGCTATTCTCTTCTCTTGAAGAATTTTCCACAGTTTATTGTGATCCACACAGTCAAAGGCCTTGGCATAGTCAATAAAGCAGAGGTAGATGTTTTTCTGGAACTCTCTTGCTTTTTCGATGATCCAGCAGACATTGGCAATTTGATCTCTGGTTCCTCTGCCTTTTCTAAAACCAGCTTGAACATCTGGAAGTTCTCGTTCATGTATTGCTGAAGCCTGGCTTGGAGAATTTTGAGCATTACTTTACTAGCATGTGAGATGATTGAAATTGTGTGGTAGTTTGAGCATTCTTTGGGATTGCCTTTCTTAGGGATTGGAATGAAAACTGACCTTTTTCAGTGCTGTGGCCACTGCTGAGTTTTCCAAATTTGCTGGCATATTGAGTGCAGCACTTTCACAGCATCATCTTTCAGGATTTGAAATAGCTCAACTGGAATTTCATCACCTCCACTAGCTTTGTTCGTGGTGATGCTTTCTAAGGCCCACCCGACTTCACATTCCAGGATGTCTGGCTCTAGGTGAGTGATCACACCATGTGATTATCTGGGTCATGAAGATCTTTTTTGTACAGTTCTTCTGTGTGTTCTTGCCACCTCTTCTTAATATCTTTTGCTTCTTTTAGGTCCATACCATTTCTGTCCTTTATTGAGCCCATTTTTGCATGAAATGTTCCCTTGGTATTTCTAATTTTCTTGAAGAGATCTCTAGTCTTTCCCATTCTCTTGTTTTCCTCTATTTCTTTGCATTGATTGCTGAGGAAGGCATTCTCATCTCTCCTTGCTATTCTTTGAAACTCTGCATTCAAATGAGAATACCTTTCCTTTTCTCCTTTGCTTTTCACTTTTCTTCATTTCACAGCTATTTTTAAGGCCTCCTCAGACAACCATTTTGCCTTTTTGCATTTCTTTTCCATGGGGATGGTCTTGATCCCTGTCTCCTGTACAATGTCACGAACCTCCATCCATAGTTCATCAGGCTCTCTATCAAATCTAGTCCCTTAAATCTATTTCTCACTTCCACTGTATAGTCATAAGGGATTTGATTTAGGTCATACCTGAATGGTCTAGTGGTTTTCCCTACTTTCTTCAGTTTAAGTCTGAATTTGGCAATAAGGAGTTCATGATCTGAGCCACAGTCAGCTCCCAGTCTTGTTTTTGCTGACTGTATAGAGCTTCTCCATCTTTGGCTGCAAAAAAATATAATCAATCTGATTTCAGCATTGACCATCTGGTGATGTCCATGTGTAGAGTCTTCTCTTGTATGTTCCCTTTATAAATCCGTTATATTCTAGTCTCCATACTAAAGCCAGAATAGTCACTCTATACAATACAAATGTGACTTTCCCTCCCTGTCCTACCACATACATACACATGCCAGTATTTCTTAAGACCTTTCAGTGGTTCCCCACTACCCTTAAAATAAAGTCCAGTCTTTAACATAGCTTATGAACCCTACAAGATCTATCCCATATTTACCATTTTGGTCTCACTTTTTGGTACTCTTGTTTGGTTTTTACCTTCTAGCCACACTGTCTTTCTTTCAATTATTCAGTATTTCTAGATACTAACTCTGGGCCTCTTCATATGCTGTTCCCATTGCCCTGAATATCTCTCTGCTCCTTTCACATACAAATGATTACCTCATTTTTATCTACCTTTTAGCTTTCATTGTAAACATCCCATTCATAGGTAAATTGTTGCAAATTATTCAGCTCACACAAGATCAGCTGTATAAGCTCTTACAGTTCTCTGTAATTTTTCTTCATAAATGCTATAAGGCTACTATTATGTAACTATTTCATAAATATCCCCCTTCATATTTGAAAGCTCAGCTAAAATAGGGACCATATCTGTTGTTTGTTCGTAATGAAAGCTTTATTGCCTTATATGTGCCTGACACAGAGTAGGAGCTCATTTTATTCATTTGTGTACTGAATCTATCCTATCTCAATATTGATTAGAGTGTGAAAAAACTCACTACACTATTATTTCAGTTGACATAATAAAATTAAATAAATAAATAAATAAATAAAATTATTTATTTATAATTTATAATAATTATAATAATTTATAATAATAAATAATAATAAGTATTCAGTTTAAATAATAAAATTAAACTTTGCTAAGAAAATAAGGGAAAATAGAACACATAATAATAAGTGATATATAGATTATAAATTTCAAAGTCTTTACATAAAATCTAGCCTAGAGTGACTTGGCTCATCCAGTTTGAAAGGTATCACAATTTCCTATTTCTTTCCCTTGCTTCAACAAAGTATCTTAGAAAATTATCCAAAAAAATAAAAACTAAAAACATCATCCAAAAGCCACTCTTTTCAATTATTTAACAGTGTAATTTTCTCCTCTCCCACTTTTGGTCCTTTTTTTTTTTTTTTTTTTTTGCCCTAAGGGAAAGGGCTGTTTTGGAAGCTCTGGCAAAGAAACACAGACTGTTAATTTGCTAAGTATTTGCTAAGGGATTTCTCCAGCCAGAAAAATAGGACATTAGAAGTGGATACTTTATAGATTAACATAATAGAATCACAAGTAGACAGGCCAGTATCTTACTCAGCATGGTTTTTCCTCTCCCTGCTGAAGGATACTAGAGTCATTCGGTTGCAGTTGTCAAAGTTTTTTTTCTCTCTCTCTTGAAATAAGATTTATAGGAATTTTCTTCTAACTACATTTTAGAAGGTTGGAGGTAGAA